AGTGTTGTAAATACAACTTAACCACTGATTTCTAGTCGTGTCCTCTTTTGGAAGGCCAAACAAAGTAGTTTCGCTTTCACAACGAAACGGCGTCACACACCGCAGCCTTGACTGAGCGGAGGACGGAGGCCTAGAGTGAGCGGCGGCCTCGGAGGCCGGCTTGAGTGAGCAGAGGCAGGTGGGCGGGCTTGAGAACGGCGCGGCCGGCGGATTCGACGAAGTTATAAAGAATATCTCTTTGGATTTGAGACTTTAGTCTTTGCAACTTTACAGATCTTCTTTATGCACCAAGAGCTTGTAACACTCCAAAGAGAAAGGAAAAATTTAAATCGCATCATATGACCCCTTTAAGGAAACATTTGGCCTGTCTCCTGAGGCCACAGGAGGGCGCAATGAGTAAAATAATGCACCTCATTAAATTGTTTATTCAATGCAATGAAATAACGGCTGTCTATAAAAAAAGTGCATAAAGTCTAATCTAATATTTATAAAATCAAATATAATTTCGTAAATTGCATAAACAATTATGAACAAAACAGCATCATGTATTTATGCATAGCTTAATACAAATAGCCAAAGCGTCGATCACACGATTACATTTAAAAACATATGAGACGCAGTGGAATGGAATAAAACCCCCACAAATTCTCGAGACTTGTTTTCTAAAACTTGAACCTCTTTTAACTTTACATGGACGCGACTGCAACAGTCATAGTTGTGCGTCTTAAGAATGAGCCGAATATGCGTTCTGTGTGAATGGCTTGGTTTCGGTTTTAACCTAACCAATATCTTCTCCGCATTGAGCTTATATATTTTTTGAACGAAAAATGCAGCAGCGGGTTGCATCTTGTGGGTTCAACTGGACAGACTAACAAGCCTACATCATTAGCTACATCATAGCCTACATCATTACCGCATCGTGCGCTGCTGATAAGGCTCTCTGACACACACCTAAAATTCAAATACACCGTTTTTGCACTCAAATGCTAATTTTTATTTTAAATTCAACTAATATTCCTTTTTTTTTTATTCACAGTCTCCTCATCGCAGGCAGGCATGGCACTCATTTCAGCATGTGTTTGTGTGTCTTGTTGGCTGTCTGCTTGTCAATCATAACATGCGCCTTTAAATGAAATAAGCGTGAAACTATACTGCGATATCTCAAACATTTTTTCTATCGTTATCGATGATGGTGTACCTTCGATAAATACCGATACCGTTTTACTGCCCAGGCCTAACTAGTAGTTAACATACGTTAGCGTAAAACAGAGAATAATACATTTATTAAGCATGTAAGGACACATTAAATAGATCAAACGTGACAGTAAAAACATTTATAACATTATAAAAGATGTTTATAAAAAAAGTTATTTTAAACGTTTTATTTTTCAAAGAATCCTGAAAAAAGTATCCACAAAAATATTAAGCAGCACAACTGTTTTCAACATTGATAATAAGCAACAATATTTCTTGAGCATCAAATCAGCATTAGAATGACTCCTGAAGGATCATGTGACACTGAATCCTGAAGTAATGATGCTGAAAATTCAGCTTTGTCAAATTGTAATATAATTAATTTAATATTTTAATGTCTTTATTTACCAGGACAGACTGCAAAATCCATGTTTTTTTTTAGAGATATAAAAGTTACTTCCAACATATTTTAAATAAATAAGCACTTTTTTAACCACTAATTAGTAAGTATATTAATCTTGGGTACATAGGTGATATACTTTCATATTGTTGGCAATGCTAAAATGTATAATAAGTAAACAAATTAAGGCATTTAAAATTTTAGCTAATGCTAATACACACTGCAAACAGTATGCTAATGCAAACACGCAATACAAAAATTTTATAATGATTTAGGTCTTGGTCAATGTATTACATACTCAAAACATGATCACCAGCAAAGTACTTTTAGTGTATAGTATAAGTATGTGAATTGGGGCGCAGCCTAAACTTTACTAGCTCCTTTCGGTGGCATTAATTACAGCACGTGAGGTTATCACGAAGTATACATCTCATAGGAAACTAGTGACCATGATTTGTACACGCACCTCCAGGGCTTTCCTGGGTCTGTCAGAAACTTAAAAGGACGATCCACCCACAAGAACACTCCTACCAAATCTGTCCTGTGAACCATTTCCTTTTCAAACTGTCAGTTCTTTCTCCCTCATCTCTCAGAAGAGGACCACTCCTGTGAAGTAAACCCCCCAGAGCTTTGCTTTCAACCGCATGAAAGAAATATATTATCAGTTCCTGTCTTCGATCCTTCTCATCTTCGCCTGTTGCTGTGGTAAAGCGGTGGCGACACAGAGGGGAGGACGAGGAGAGGACAAAAAAACCAGTTGGTCCACTGTATCAAGTGACAAAACAGACACATGTATAGTACACCAGGCAGAGGTGGCAATGAGGATCAACCACTGAATTTCAAATATAAAAATGGCATCCCTCACAGATGGTTTCTTTGATTAATAATAAATGTTTTTAAAAACATCTCCCCCTCTCTAACAAGGACTAAAGGGAGGCAGTAAAGCATAGTACTGTAAACCAACAGCACCCTAATGATCCACATACTGAGCTATTAAAGACAATCCCACAAAAACACATCAGCTAATAACTGCATTTGCAAAACCTGACTATGCTTTTCATCTATATCATCATATGGACCATTAGTAACAGTGAAGAGATAGAAGATTAACTGGATGAAAGAGAAAATTAATTATTGTAAATTTATATAAATATTATAATATCAATTAAATAAATAAATATTAGCATTAGTTAGTGCTGTGTTCGATACATCGATACGACGATGTATTGTCACAGAGATTTGACGATACGAGTATCGATACAGCTGGCCCTGTATCGATACTGTGGCACATGTGCAGCAGTGGACCGCACTTAATTTGAATACAAGAACAACGTTTAAAATAGAGTAGAAAAGTGCGAGGATGAAT